ATTTATAAAAATAATTGTTTATATTTAAATACAAAATTACAAATTATTATTATTAACAAATAAAAATTAAAACACAAATGTTTAAAAAAATTATAAATTAATAGGTTACATTTATTATTTAAAAGTTATATATATATATATATATATATATATAAATCTAAATTAAAAATATATATTTATCCAAAATATATAATTTACTAATTTTATTTCATTATAAAACATTATGCGCGCTTATACTAAATTAATGTATAAATCTTAATAAGTTTATTAATAATTACTTAATAATATTAATTTACAGTTGTGTTTTTTAATAATAAATTGTCAATCAAATTATTTTTTTAAAAATAAGACAATTGAAATAAAATTTATTTAAATAACTAAAAAAAACTGTAGTACTTATTTAAAAATAATTTTTTATATTATCTATAATAATATACAAATAAAATTAGCTTAAGCTTAAATATAGTTTGTTTTTATTTATTTTTTTAATATTTAATTTCTATTTTTAGTACATAATTTAATAACTTACTATTCATTGTCATTAAATCATTATAATTAAATCATAATCATTATAATTAAAGGCATAAAAATTTTATGTAATATTTATTTTGATTATCTAATAAACTATATAACATAAGTTGATTTAGGTTTATGTTATCACAATCACTCATTATAAATGAAAAACTTTTATTACTCATACAATTTGTGACATAAATTTTAGCCGATTTTTGTCTTCGGCCTTAATTGCGGACAAATTATTGCAATATTTGTTTCGGACAGTAATTGTCTCTGTCCTTCATCAGCGCAATTGCTGTACAAACTGACAGCACAGTTGGTCATTAGGTACTTATGGTATGTGAGAGAGTGACCAGAAATGTGATAATTGATACCCTATTTGTGCCATAAAACATATTTTTTGGGTAGTTTTGACTTAAATTGTTTACTAATCATTTAAATACTGTACAAAAAATTCAATAATATAATCATTGCTCCCACAGAAGCTTCCCACAGTTTTTCAAACACTATTATACTTCCATATTATAAGGGATTAAGTCAACATTTAAAATGCTTATTCAATAAATATAATATTAAAGTTATATATAATAGAGGTAAAAATATAAAAACTTTATTAAAACATAATTTTAATGATAATATTTTAGATAAATCAGGTGTAGTATATAATATAAGTTGTACTAATTGTAACTGTGAATATATAGGAGAAACTAAAAGAAAGTTAAATAGTAGATTAAATGAACACAAAAATGCTTTAAATAATTTTAATATAAAATCTAATATTGCTGAACATTCATTTAAAACAAAACATAATATAAATTTTAATAACCCTAAAATTTTAATTCACGAAAATAATAATAAATCTAGAAAATTTTTAGAAAAATGGTATATTGCTACTAATAAAATAAAAAATGTACCATTAATGAATGATAAATTTAACGATAAAACAAACATTCCTAATCAATATTTAGAATTTATTAATTAATTTTTAGTGTATTCCTACAGGAGCTGGCATTTGCCAGTTTCTGTGGGAGCAATGATTATATTATTGAATTTTTTGTACAGTATTTAAATGATTAGTAAACAATTTAAGTCAAAACTACCCAAAAAATATGTTTTATGGCACAAATAGGGTATCAATTATCACATTTCTGGTCACTCTCTCACATACCATAAGTACCTAATGACCAACAGTGCTGTCAGTTTGTACAGCAATTGCGCTGATGAAGGACAGAGACAATTACTGTCCGAAACAAATATTGCAATAATTTGTCCGCAATTAAGGCCGAAGACAAAAATCGGCTAAAATTTATGTCACAAATTGTATGAGTAATAAAAGTTTTTCATTTATATAACATAACGTTAATACCAAAAAAAAATAAAACAGTTAATTACAAAAAACCTAATACTAATTGATTTGAAATTTCGTAATCAATAATCTATTACTAATTGTGAAAAATTAAATTAACAAAAATTAATAATACTAATAATACTATTGTATAAAATGTAAATTAAACTGTAAATTATTAATTGTTTCAATTTTTTTCAAATTTTTTGATATATCTTTTTAAATAAATATCAATTGTTTAACTGCTATATATTATTATATACTGTATGTATATATAATTTATATATCATAATGTATAACTGTTAATAACTGTAATCTTTATACTAATAAATTGTTTATATTTATTAATTTTTATTTATATATATACGATAGATATCTTAAGTTGTATTAAAATATTTGTAAAAATATATTACAATTTTTTATTTTTTTAATAATAATTTTTTTTGTTAAGCAAAATATATTAGTCTAATTGTATTATGTATTATGTAAATGTATTAATTAGATAATTGAATAATTGACTAATTAATTTTTTAATTCCTTTAAAAGATAAGTACCATTAGATTGTCAAAAATTGAATTGTTTTAAACTTAAACAATATAATTAATTAGTTTTTAAGTAATTATTACAGTTTAATTATTAAATATAATATAATATAAAAATAAATAAGTTGTAAATAAAATTGTTATTACAATTATATTACAACAACTGTAATTGTTAATTAAAAATAATTGTTTATATTTATCAAAAAATAATAATCTTTTTAAAAAAATAGTTTAAGGCCTAGCAATACAAAACAATATTTATTTTTTATTATAGTAATTATAATAGTTATAATCTATATATTTCAAAAAAATTACAAACAAATAAATCAACCTGGTTAATCAATTATTTACTAATACATTTACTAACTGATTATTTTTAAAAAAAATTAAGCATATACAAATTTTTTTACAATAAAAATATAAAATTAGTACTTAATCAGTAATCAATAATTTAATTAGTAATATTTTTATATATATATTTTTATTAAAAATAATAATTGATAGGTGCATATCAAAAACAATAAAAATAAAATACTTTTTATTAAAAAAAATAGAATTCTATAATTAAAATTATTTATAAAATTAATGATTTATTTGTAAATCAATTAACAAATAAAAAAACATACATTAATTTTGAGCAGGACAATTTTGAATTAATAAAATTTAAAATACTTAAATTAATAAATGACAACTAAATGTTTTGATTGAAATTTTTTTTATTATTATTTTAATTTTTATACCAGACTCTATATAAATATAACACTACTAAATAATATATTATAATATTTTTTTAAAAAAAATAATTGCTTAAAATATGTTTCTTATTGTAATAATTTTTCAATTTTATTCATTAATTACTACTACGTGTTTGTGTGTTTATCACTATAAATATACCGTATATTGTAATTAAAACTTTTTAAATATTTAAAAAATATTAAATATTCATTTATAACTGTAATTAAAAATAGTATTTATTAATCTAACGTAATATATAATTAATTTTTTAAATTTTAGTCTTCCTACAAATTAATGTTTTTAAAAAATAAATTGTTTATAATATTTATAATTAGTTTATTTTTTAAAATGTATTTTTTATAACTTATGTTTATGATATTTTAAGATTATTTAATTAATAAATATTTTCATAAATATATACTATTTTTATAGTTATAGAAGAATAAGTTTTAAAATTTAAAAAATAGTTTAAAATGATTAATATAATTAACTAATTGCTAAACTATAAGCAATTTTTGTATATATTGTTTATTACAAAATTTATTTTATTTTTATTTTAATTATTGTTTAAATACTATAAATATTTATATATTATACGAATATTCATATTTAGTAAATAAAATAAAATAAAATTTTCTAATTAAATAATAATTTATTCATTAGATAATAATTATATAGAAAAATAAAATTAAAAAATTATAAATAAATTTTTTTACTAAGAAAAACTATTTTTATTTTTTTTATAAATTAATGTTTTTTATAGTACAGTATTTAGTTTTTAGTTTGACATTCAACATGTATTAATTAATTATATAAAAATAATTAATAAAAACTAAAATTATTTTTAAAAAATGTCAAACATATAAAAATAAATGTTTACTATTATTTCACATAATTATTATTATTATTATTATAAATACAAAATTATTTATATTATTTCCTCTCTCTCTCTCTCTCTTTGAAAAATATTTTTGTCGTATTTTAATAAATACTAAAAAAAGTTTACATACTCTTGATATGTCTTTAACTTTTATTTTTATATTAATAATAATACGATATTATTATTATTATTGTTATTACATCTCCAACTCTCAATGTTTTTCATTTTAAAATAAAATTTAAATAATTAAAACAAAATAATAATAATAGTAATAATAACAAAAGAGATTATATATATATAATATATTATTGAATTTTTGATTTAGAGAAACAAATTTTTTATTTTTTTATTTAATTTTAAATATGATTTTTTTAAAGATAAAGAATAACCGGATTTTTCAGGGTCTGTATAATAGACTCTCTCTCTCTCTCTCTCTCTCTCTCTCTCTCTTTGACACAAATTCAAGTATTTTTTGTTATAATAGCTAAACGTTTTAGTGTTTGTTTGTGTGAATCACTAATACTACTATTACTACTACTACTACTACTACTACTACTACTACTACTACTACTACTAACTTATTCATTGATTCAATGAAGTGATAAAAAAAAACTTTTTGATGATTAATATGTTTTCCTATTTTTTGATGTCTATCCACAACACACTGTCACACAAATGTTAATGAAATAAATTTATAATATATATACTGTATATATATATATATATATAAATTAGATATAATTATAAAATAAAAACTTTTTGTTTCTTTTGTTTGTTGAAAATTAAAAATATATTTTATATCATATCTCTTATATATATATATTAGTAATATTAATAAACTGCTTAAAAAATTTTATGAATCAAATGTGTAAAATGTTATCAATTAGTTGAAACAATCAATAATTTGTTTTATGATTTAATATAATAATAATAATATAAAAAAAACAATTAATTGATTTAATTGATTTATTAATGCCATAAAATAATATTAATAACAACAATGTTATCATTATTACAATCAATCCAATTGTTTGGTAAATACTACTACTACTAATTATTATTATTATTTTATAGCAATTATTTTTAAATAATTATTTAATATTAATTACCAAAAAGAAAATCAACTATATATTTATCAATAAATATTATTATTATTTTTTTTGTTTTTTTTAATTATATTTCAAGTAATAGCTATAGTTATAGCTATATTAGGTGTCAGTCACGGCCAGGATGTCAGCCAAAGTTGTCTTCAATGTATTTGTAAGGTATGTACAGTATATGTCATCAAATAATAATCATTAACTAATGATTATCATATATTAACTAATAACTAACTATCCTTCAAAAATATACTATACTGTCCCTTACTATTAATATCTATCTATGTTAGGCCAGCTCCGGGTGCAAACTAAACACCAAATGTCATAATAGTGGACCAAATGCCTACTTTTGCGGTCCCTATCAGATCTCCTGGGCGTAAGTTATTAGTTATTTTGAAAATAATATCTTATTTTTATGTAAGCACTGGTATGTTATCTCATATATTTTTCACGTGATTGCACAGGTATTGGTCAGATGCGGGTAAACCGGGAAATACTGGCCATTCAAATGATTTTGAAAACTGTCTAAACGATAAACTATGCGCTGAGGTTGCGGTCAAAGGTTATATGAGTAAATGGCAAACGGATTGCAATAATGATGGTTAGACTTAATACATAAAATTTAATAATTTTTTTAAAAATTTTTTTGTATTAATATTTTATTTTCTTAATATTAATATTTATTTTTAGATATTTACAGTATTTTTATTTACTAAAATAATTCAAATTATAAATATTTTAAAATTTAATTTAATTTTTTGTATTAATATTTAATTTTATTAATATTTAATATATATTTACAGTATATTTTTACTAAAATAATTCAATTTATAAATATTTCAAAAAATTAATTTAATTTTTTATTTATTTAATTTGTTGTTATTATAATAGGTGTTATCGATTGTCTCGATTTTGCGGCCATTCATAAGGTTTTTCAATACTTTTTTTTCTTAAAATTTTTTTTATTTTGTTTCACTCATTATAATCACATCCACTAAAAATAAAATAAATAAACATTATTTTTGTTATAAATTAATAACAAAACAAATGTTTATTTAAGAGATTTATTTTTTTTTTGTAATTTTTATTTATTATTATTTACTTAAATATATATATATAAAATAAATACAATGTATATGTATGTCAAAATCATTCATCAATTAACTGTCATATTATTATTATAATTATTATTATTATAATTAGGCCGGTGCCAGCTCATGTAATCAACAATGGCTTTACAATAGTCAATATTGGCAAGTATTTCGCCAGTGCCATATTTCAAGCACCGGTAGTAACACTGGTATGTCACAAACAAACACACACACACACACACCCACTCACCCATACCTACCATACCTTTTAACATTTTATATTAATATATTATAGACTATCCTACTCGGCCTCAGTCGTCGTGGAACAATCAACCACAACAACCTCCTCGGCCCAGACCGACAGTCCCACCCCAACAACACCCACCATCACCACCTCAACATCAGCCATGGGATAACAACAGCCCACAACCTCAACCTACTGTTCCCGTAAACAACCCACCATCATACAATGATCAGCCGCAACCTGACGATGCAATTGTTCAGCCCTACCCACCCGAGCCCAGTGTTGATGTCCAGCCCTACAATCAACCCGAACAGCCGGTAGCACCCGATGGCGGCGGCAGTCCCGCATGGGATGGTCAACCAGTGGACAGTCGTCCATACTATGAACAGCCTCAACCACCACCATCACCATCATCACCATCACTACAACCTAACGAACAGCCATACATAGACCCGTGGGATCAGCCATACCAACCGGACTATCCATCCAATGATAACTACTCGCAACCGGCGGCGGGGGCGGCGTCGCCACCGGGCGTTACCGAACCGGATCCATGGGATGAGGTATCCCGAGCTGTCGATGAAGTAGTAGATCAACCGTATGGTGGAGGAGGAACAACACCTAATAGGCCAGTGCCAACACAGCCGGCACTGATACCGGGAGGTAGAGCACCGGTACAACCGGTTAGTTGGTCTCAACCACCGCAGCCGTCAGCTTACGACTATAACAATAATAACAATTTTGGTCAACCATTTAAACCTCCTCCACCTCCTCCTCGGCCAACAATAGTAGAGCCGTCACAGGTATACACTATAATAAAAAATAAATTTTATTTTATTATAAAATAAAATTGTGTTAATGCCATAAATAATGATAATAATAATTACAGTAATAATTATAGCAATTACTGGTATTATTATTATTTAGACAGATATACATATTATACAGATTAACATAACAATTATCATAACAATTATACTGTAATAAGCAAAACATAATAATAATAATTATTATAGAAATAATTTATGATTTTAATTATAGTAAATTATTTTATTTGTTTGTTTTTTAATACTATAATACTAATTATTATTTATTTATTTTTTCATAAAATTATTAGCCATTACCAGTGGAAGCGCCTACTAATGCATCGGTCGATGATAGATGTCTTGATTGTATTTGTCAGGTAATAATAATAATAATAATAATAGTAATAGTAATAATTTATAATATTTTATAGTTTATATAATTAAAAATAATTTTTTTTTAAATGTTTAGTACTGTCTGAGTTATAAATTTATATTAACCTATAAATTATTAGTTATTTATATTATTTCTAAATATATATAATGTTTGAAATTATTTTTATATTTAGTAAACTTATTGTTTTTTTTGTGTCTAATAGAGAGAGAGAGAGAGAGAGAGAGAGAGAGAAATGAAAACATAAATAAAATAAAAATTTAAAAAATACTGTAATATTTTAAATAACAAAATAAAACATAAATAATATTTATTATTTTTATAGACTATATTTAGTTAAAACATAAAGTTATTATTTATTTATATATTATTAAATATTTTTATATTAAATCATTTTTTTTATTTATTATTAGGCGAGCAGTGATTGCGATCTCAATAAACAATGTGAAGGTATGTCTAATACTACAGTATATCTGTTAACAAAAAAAAATATTTAAAAAAATAATATTTTTTTTAAATATTATTTTTTTAAGGATCATATTGCGGGCCATACCTAATAAGCTGGGCCTACTGGGCCGATGCTGGACAACCTGGAGGTACTGGTGCTAAATAAAAAAAATTAAATAAATAAATACTAAATTATTTTATTTTTTAAAAAATATTTATTATATTTGTGTTGTGGTGCACCCGTTTGTATTATTATTATTATTATTTTAATTATAGGAGATTATGCTACCTGTGCCAACAATAGGGCCTGTGCCGAAAATACAGTCAGAGGATATATGTCTAAATGGCAATCGGATTGCGATGGAAACGGCTATATTGATTGCGACGATTTTGTACGGATTCATAGATCAGGTAGTTTTATGTGTGTGTATGTGTATGTGTATGTGTATGTGTATGTGTATGTGTATGTGTATGTGTATGTGTATGTGTATGTGTATGTGTATGTTTATGTGTATGTGTATGTGTATGTGTATGTGTATGTGTATGTGTATGTGTATGTGTATGTGTATGTGTATGTGTATGTGTATGTGTATGTGTATGTGTATGTGTATGTGTATGTGTATGTGTATGTGTATGTGTATGTGTATGTGTATGTGTATGTGTATGTGTATGTGTATGTGTATGTGTATGTGTGTATGTATGTGTGTGTATGTGTGTGTGTGTGTGTTTGTGTCCATAAGCTAACTGTCCACTTATATCCAATATATACTGTAGGTCCACATTCATGCAATGCTGAATCAATTCAAACTACCGACTATTGGAAATCCTATCAGTCCTGTAAAAGTCCGCCTATAGAAGCTAGAAGTAATATATAGCTAACTATCTAACTATATAATCAATATATCTACCGTTCCCACCTAATTGTTTTATCACTATATATCTATCTCTCACACACACAAAAATAAGGACTGGATACTCCTACCAACTCCCGGTCCACTCGGGACTCGCTGACCGGTCGTAGTGTACCTCAATCGCCTCCCGGTGCCAATCTATTCCTGGAATATCCCAATCCCGTACCCAACAATAGGCATAATAATAATAATAACTATAATCCTCTACCGCCCAACCATTACGCTAGAGATTCGCGCATAACGTTCCCCCGAAACGACGCCCAACCAGCGGCACAGCCAGCAGCGGCTAACCAACCGAACCGTTATGAGCCCACAGCTGGTAGTGGTCACATACCGGTGCCGCCGATCAGCAGCCAACCAGTGGTGGCCAACAATTACAGTACGGATAGGGCTCTGGAGTCTATTGGCTTACAACGCGATTGTTTGGACTGTATATGTCAAGTATGTACTGTACTGTACATGTCATATGACATGACTGTCCCCCCACTAATTATTTAGGAAGCAGTTTATTATTATTATTAATATTTTTATTTTCTATTAGGCCAGCAGTAAATGCAATCAGGGAATCGGCTGCCAAAATGACGGTTCGGGTAACGGTTATGTGTGCGGACCCTATCAAATGAACTGGGCTTAGTTGAGTATCAATTTTTTTTAATTTAAAAATTAATAATAAAAATAAACTAATAATCTACTACCGTTCCCCCCTCCCCGTCCCCATAATATATAAATTATATAATATAATAACTAAAGTATACTGTATTATGTATATACAGTATAAATAATTATTATTATTAAAAATTTATATTAAAAGTTAACATTAATAACATTTTAATAAAATAGTTATATATATAGTTTATGTATAATAATTAGATAACATTAACCACAAAAAACAAAACAAAAAGTTTTATAAATGTTTTTCAATATATTTATAATTCCTATTAATATTATTATTAGTTTTCTAATTAATCTACCGGTGCTTTCTAAATATATTTTTTAAATAATAAATTAATAATATATTGATAGCCTTTAATCTTTATAGATTATATTTATTATAATTTAACTAAATTTATATATATATATCATGTATTTATCATATATTTATTGATAAAATATTTAAGTTTAGATCAAATTTAGAAATAATGAACTTTTTTTCTGGAAATAATGAATATTTTAGGGAAAATTGAATATTTTAAGTGAAAAATACATTGATTTGGAAATTTTTTAAATATTTTTATATATAATATATAAATTATAAATAAATAATTATGAAATCTATTTAAATATTTAACAGTTTATATTTAAAAAATAAAATATTAATATTTTAATATTTTTTTATTAATTATTATCATTTTTATTATTATTAATTTTATAATTAATCTACCGGCGCTTTCTAAATATACATATTTTTTATTATCTAATTTACCTACCGGTGCTTTCTAAATAATTTTTTTATTACTATTAGTTGGTCAGATGCCGATAAGCCGGGTATTCGGGGTAATCTGGAAAACTTGGAAAACTACCAGAGCTGTCTAACTAATAAGGCCTGTTCGGAGTCAGCCATCTACGGGTATATGAAAAAACATCGGCGCGACTGCAATGAGGACCAGCGTATCGACTGTTTCGATATGGCGGCCATACATATGGCCGGTCCGACCAATTGTAATGCCCAATGGTTTTACGAGTCCCAGTATTGGTCCGATTTTCGCGAGTGTTTTGATTTTAGGCGACGCAAGTAATTGTTATAATAATAATAATAATAATAATTTTTTTTATGACATTTTTTAATATTTTTTAAAAAACTAATAATTATTACTTATTTATAATTATAATAATTAAATAACGTTTGCCATAATTATTGTATACTTTATTGCCATAATTATAAAAAAATTTTTTTAATGTATTTTGTTTATAAATAAATTTTTATAAATTTTATTTTATTGTAAAAATTTACTTTAAAAATAAACAATTGTTTTTTTTATTTTTGCTAAATACTATTTGTTAATATTTTTTTGTGAGACATTTATATTGTTTTTTTTGCAAATTTTTTTCAACTAAAAAAATTAATTATTACTTATTTATAATTATTATAATTAAATATTGTTTGCCATAATTATTGTATACTTTATATACTTTATTGCCATAATTATAAATTTTATTTTATTGCTAAAATTTACTTTAAAAATAAACAACTTTTTTATTTTTAATTTTTTTGCTAAATACTTTTTGTTAATAATATTTTTTGAATTTTTTTTTAACAAATTGATTTAATGATTGAGTAATACTACTGTATATATATATAGAAGTATTTAATGAGTCAATCATTCAGAGATTGATTATAAATAGATGTAAAGTTATCTATACTTTACTTATCTATAGTTTTAAAAAAAAATTTGTTTTTCACATTAAAAACGATTTCATCAACAATTAAAATTAGTCATTAAATAAATATATAAATAATTCATCATTAAATTAGCATTTTTTAACAAAAAATATATATACACTAATTAACATACCATTATTTAAATTGTTAATATTTAGTCAAAAAAAATTACTATAATTTAAAAAAAATTAATTAAAATTATGGCCAAATTTATTATCACAATAATTATTTTCATTACCATGGTCAATATATGTAAGTTATATTAATATATATATATTTATTGGAAAATTATTATTATTATTTTCTAAATATTATTTTTTTTAAATATTATTATTTTTTAAATATTATTATTTTTTTAAATATTATTATTTTTTAAATATTATTATTTTTTTAAATATTATTATTTTTTTAAATATTATTTTTTCTAAAAATATTTATTATTAAAAATTAATTTTAAATTACTACCCCCCCTAAATAATAAGCACTGGCACTACTACCGTGTAATTCCGGTTTAGATTATGCCCAAAGTCGGGCTGCCTGTGCGGCCAGTTGTCAACTACTCGACTGTACGACCGGCTATTGTTGTAAACAAATTTGTATTTGCTCCCGGTGCTCAAATATGATTGGTCCAGGATCCAGGATACAAGTTTTATATTAAAATAATAATAATTATAAATGTTTTTATTACCAACTTGTTTTAAAAAAAACATTATACAAAAAAAATATTATTTTAGTATTTGTTATTTTTAGCACTTTTTTTTATATAATTAATAACATATTAGAATCATATATATATTTAAATAAGTTTAATAGAAATTATTTTATATTAATTAATGAAATTTTTATTTATATTTAAAGAAAATAAAATCTAATAAACACTAACCGTATTTCAATATTAATACTAAATAAACTAAACTGTAATAATTGTTTTTTATTGTTTTTTTTTTTAATTATTATTTACAAATTATTGAATATTATTTTAGAAGATATTCGACTTCGTCTTAATTGACTAAAAAAATATTTTTTTTTAATAAAATTTTGTTTTATATGCCCCACACCCGCCCCCACTAAATACTAGATAAGTTTTGTAGTATATTTTGTGTGGGAGTAGGGGGCGTGGCATGCAATTAATCATATCCGACAAAAAAATGATTTTCAATACATTACATTGTTTTTTAAATAAATTTTAATTAAAAAATAAACTAAATTAATTAATTTCATTTTTAACCATGATGCGATAAAATATACTATTAATTATGCTTATGCAATATATTTATTTGTTTAAAATACAGTTTGCAAAAAAAAAACAATTATTATAATATTAGTATTAATTTATGATTTTAATAATATTTTAAATAAAATTATAGTAATGTTGTTTTTTATATATTGAAATACAGTTATATACAGTACATACTAAACAAACAGTATTATATCATCAAAATTTACTTAATAAATATATATATATTTAATTATGAAATATTTATAAACATAATACTTAATAAATAAAATACAATTTTTTGTTGTTGTCTATTATACGTAATCTATTAAAATATAATAAATAAAAAGTCTAATGATTATAACAATCATGTAAATCATTTACTTGCATATTTTTACAATTTTATTATTATTAATAAACATGATATTATCTAGTACCTAATATTAATTTTTAAAATTAACTATTAAAAAAATAATAGTAAATAAAGTTAGTTGCATTACATGAACGCTTATATAAGATTTTATTTTTAGACAACTAATTAATTGTTATCTATAATTTATAAAAAAATATTTTTAATTAATATTTTACAACAATTTTATTGCTTAATAATAATAACTAATATAATAATATTTATAATACAAGAAAATTAATAAACAAAAATATTATTAGAATGAATTGTAAATCACATTTTTATTATCTATAAATATATAAAGATTATAACTTATAAAAATTTTTATATTTAAATTATTTATAAATAATTATTAAATATTAATACAATAGAAATTAAATAAAATATAAATTTTAGACCAATTAAAGTGTTAGTTTTGAAAAATAAATTTAAAAAAATAATTGGTCTACTTAATTAATTGTAAAGTTAAAATTATTTTATTTACATTTTATTTATTTTTAGCAATTTTTTTTGATAATGAATTTATGGATAATCAGTTTAATATAAAATATTTTAGAAATTAATGAAATTTTTATTTATATTTAAATAAAAAATCTAAGAAAACACGTAATATATTTCAAATATTAATACTAAATAAATAAACTAAACTGTAATAATTGTTTATTAATATTTTTTTATTAATATTTAAAAATTATTGAATAGTATTTTAGATGATAAAAAAATCCAGTTCTTAATTGCCCCAAAAAAATATTTTTAATAAAACTTTTTATAATTTAGTTTACAATTTAATTACTAATAATTAATATATATATATATATTTAAAAACTATTTCTAATAAATAAAATTTTTTTTGAAAATAATTATTAATATTTTTTTTATAAATATATATATATAATAAACAGTACACACTATATATACAGTATATTTTATTATTTTTAAAAAAATATTATTAATTATCTAACAAAATTGGCGATGACTTAATTGCCCACCACGCCCCCCTCGCCCCCACAAAATATTTTAGTAAAACTTTTTTTCTATGCCCACCTCGCCCCCCACAAAACATTTAAACTGTTTTAAAAGCCCCCACGCCCCCTCGCCCCAACAAAATATTTTATTAAAAATTAGTTTACTATGCCTAATAAAATTAGTTTACTAGTTAAAACTTATAATAAAACTTATATGCCCCCCACGCCCCCCACAAAATATTTTATTAAAACATTGTTTTTATGGGCCCTACGCCCCCCAAGCCGACCACAAAATATATGATAAAAATATTGTTTTCTATACCCCACGCGGGATAATATGGAAACAAATTTTATAACAAAAAACAATATATATATAAAACACTAATTTTGTGTGTTATTACAGTTTATAAGTTAATTAAATTTAATTATTCAATAAATTATACATTAAAAACATATATTAATTACTAATTTTATTAAAAACTATATACTTAAAACAGTTATAAATAAAATTTTAAAATAATTTTAACATAGTGACCAATGGTCATTTTTGACTATTAATTATTAAAACTGACCATGTAATAATTTTTAAAAAAATAAATCGTATTTATAATATTATTAATAATATGATTTTAATATAATTAAAAATAATAATTGTTAACTATAATACATGTATTATAAAATAATTAAATTTAATTAACTTATAAACTGTAATACCAAACAAAATTAGTGTTTTATATATACTGTATTTTTGTTATAAAATTTGTTTCCATATTCTCCCGCGTGGGGTATAGATAACAATGTTTTTTTAAAAAATATTTTGTGGGGGGCGAGGAGGCTTTTAAAAAAGTTTTAATTTTTTGTGGTGGGCGTGGGGGGCTAAAGGGCCATAAAAAACTAACTTTTATTAAAATATTTTGTGGGGGGCGTGGTGGGCAATTAAGTCATCGCCAACAAAATTAATTAAGCAGTATTTAACCAAAAAAATAAAATAAAAATATATAATAGTGTCCATAGTACTAATCAATAAGCTAAATTATTTTTATATGTAAAGTTAACTTTAATCATTTACAGTAAATAACTGTGTATTAATTATATGCATTGTTATTATTATTATTATTTATTGATTAATCGGAACACTAGTAATTAATAATGCAATAAACTTTTTATATATGACTTACAATTATAATAATTTGTTTAAAATACAGTTTGTGAATAAAAATTTTTTTTAATTCAATAATAATAACATATTTTTATCAATATATTTTACTAATACTATTATTTATTTTTATTGATTTTTATACGTTTATTATTATATTTTAAAGTTTAATAATTATATATTTATAGATCTGTTATTAAGTTTTATGTTGTCTTCATTAGACATTATAATAAAATTTTTATTTAAAATTTAATAATAATAATATTATTATTATTATTATTAATAATTACAATTATAATATACTGTATTATAAATTTTGAAATAATCATTAATGAAATTAAATAAATATTATTTAGCAATTAATTATCAAATATAAATATAATTGTAAATTATTATTATTATATAAACTAAAAAATTTTAAATTAAACTAACAGTATAATATTTCCATACAAATTAATACAATATATTTATAATTGTAAAAATAATTATTTTAAAATTAAAAAAAATTAATAGTGTTCATATATGGGGTGTACAAATCAATAAACATTATTTTTTATTGTTAATTAGCCGCAAATCGACTGTATTTTTATTATTATTACCCAATTATTTGTTATATTAATGGGAATTATTATTATACAGTGATTCGGTTCGTCATTAAACAATATCTATTACTATATATATATATATATACAATATATACAGTATATATACATATATATAGACTAATTGTTTATTGATTTATCGGAACACTATTTAAAATCTAAAAAATTGAATTTATTTTATCTAACTATTAAATTGTGTTATTTATAAAATTACAGTTTGATTACATGACAAAATATTTAATATTACTAAAATTTTTATTAATTTATATTATTATAATTAAGTTATTACTTTTTTTTGAAAAGAAACTAAATTAAAAATAATTATAATTAGATAAACTGTAAATTATATTAAATAGTTTTTTTAAAAAGTATTTTACAAAATTAATTTACAAATATTAGTTTCAAACTTTCTCCAATTTTTTAATTTACTAGAAAAAAACAAAATATAAATTATAAAATAAATCAGTTAATTAAAATTTATACATATATATATATTTATTAATCATTTAAAAAATTAATATTGTTTTATTTTGTTTAATTAATAAATTTTCAAAAACATATTAAAATATTTGCTAAAATTATTATTAAAAAAAATATTTGAATTAAACTATAATTAATAAATAATATTTGATTTACATATCTATATATCAATATTTAAAAAAAAATAATAATAATATATTTTATTATACATTAAAAATAATTTATAAATAAAATCAATCAATTAACTAATAGTTGAATAATAAATAATATTTAATATTTAATTAAGTAATATTTTTATTAATTAATTCAAGCTTATATTTAAATAATATTTAACTTAATAAATAATCTAAATAATTTGTGTATTAAATGTATTTATATTTATATATATATATTGAAAAATGTAATAGTGTTCATATATGGGTTACAAATCATTAAACATATACTTATTTTTATATTGTTAAGCAGTCATAGATCGACCCGTTTTATTACCCAATTATTAACAGTTGTATTAATTAATGGGAATTTTCAGGTGATCCACGACATACTTAATCAGTCTATTATTATCAACTAATTGTCTATTGATTGATCGGATCACTACTTAATAGTTAAAAATTCAATATTATTTATCTAACAAATAAATTGTGTTATTTAGAAAAATTACAGTTTGTTTATAATTTATATTTATTATTATTATTTTTTTTATATATATATATCAATATATTATATAAATTTACTACAATATTAATCTAAACTAATTTATATTATTATAATTATCAATATTAAAAAATGTTTTTTAAATTTAATATTTTATTTTATAACAAATAATATATATTATATTAATAGTATAAGACAACAAAAATTATTTAATTTTTTTTTTGAATAACTTAAAAAATTATTATTTTATATTTTATTCAGTGATTTTCATATCTTATTAATAGTATATTTTTTTAAATAAAAAAAATTTACAATAATATTATTGTAAAATTTGTTTTTTAAAGATTGGTTAATAATTAGAAAACTATTTGTTTGTTTGTTTTTTAAATTTAATATTTTATTTCATAACACATAGTATAAGACAACAAAAATTAGTTCAAAATTTTATTTTTATTTAATTTTTTCAATACAATTGTTTGAATAACTCTTCAAATTTCATATTATGAATGGCTTTTCCCATATAATTTGCTAACTCTTTCTGAACAATCTCTTTGACAACCGGTTCCTGACTTTTGACGATAGCATCGGTTAACTTATTGAATGGCCAAACAAGTCGACCACTTTTAACACCAAATCCCTGTTTGGATTTCAATTGAATATCTTTAAGCAATAATTTTCCATTAGTTTTATCCGCTTCTAATCGTACGGTAAGTATTGCCCGTTTGAGCGCCAGTTTCAGCTCCCGATTCTTTATGGATATCCTATGAAATAGTTTTGCACTGACTTTATAGTCGGCACTGATATCCTGGACAACAATATCGGTAACAATTAGTTTTTTCCCACCAAACTCGTCGACTACCAGTGCATTGCCCAGTCGTTCAATATTAGTCAGTCCAGTGACTACACCGTTTTTTAGGGTAACTGAGCCTATAATTCAATTTTTTAATGATTTTAATAATTTCAATATATTTATATAGGAATATATTACTGTATTCAAAAAAAAAATTTGGAATAAAATAATAAATTTGAAATTAATTTTTAAAAAAAAATTATAATAAAAAAATAAATGAAAAAGTATTTAGCAATTAATTAACTATATCTATAATTAAACAAAATTATTATTACTATACTAAACTAGAAAATTAAACTAAACTTAGAGATAAAATTACAAAATACTTAATTATAAATAACTAACTGTTTTTTTCTCCCCTCAATATAATATACATACAAAATATAATTACTGTATTTATAAAACTTAAAGATAATTTTTTAAAAAATAAATATTTTAATTATTTTTGTTTTTGTAATAATAATAATAATAATCTACCAGTCAATGCAATCAATTATATATACTACTACTACTACTAACCCCATCGTCCATGTTTGAATGGTCCGACATCTGATAATGCTAGTTTGTCAAACTCAGTCCTGTAGTCCCGTTTCATCAGATCCAACAGTTCGTCCACTACTTTATTGCCAGCTTTGGCATCTTTGTGCGGAAATTTGTGTCCTTCCTCTCCACCTCCATGTGCCACTGGTTTATCATAACCACTACTACCATCACCAACACCACCACCAGCACCGGCATCAGGTTTGCTACCAAAATCATTATAGTCTTTACTATTGCCGCCATCATTGCCAGCACCAGCACCGGCATCACCACCGGCTCCTCCTCCTCCCGGATACGAGTCTAGTCCCGAATCGCCGCCTCCATTACCGCCAAACGATGGCCTATCGCCTGCTGATGGATATCCACTGCCGATTGTTTTGTCTGGTTTTTTATCATCATTTTTATTATTATGATTATTAGTGTTTGAATGTTCGGGATATTTATCTTGTTGTTGTTGTTGACCGTCGTTGTCGGGTATTTTACCACCAAAATCGGGTACCCGTTCATTGGCCGGATATTTGTCCACATTTTTAGTATCGTCACCATTACCGCCGCCGCCATAAGTATTTGGTAGAAAATCTAAAGAAAATTAAGTTTTAAAAAATTAACAAATTTTTAAAAAATTGATTATATATTAATTATTTTTTTTAAAAAATATTAATTATTATTATTATTACTTCGAATATCAGGTTTTTTATCGTGTTTTATATCAATAATATCCGGTTTTTTGCCATCATTTTTGCTTAGATCGGGATATTTTTCGGGTTTATTATTTCCGTTTGTTTCAAAACCAGGAAAATCGGGAAACTTATCACTATTATAATTATCGCCCGGTTTTTTACTATCATAACCATAGCCAGTATTTTTATCATTATTGTTATTATTATTTTCGTCCACATAATCGACTTTTGGGGTTAATTTTGGTTTAATTCCCGGTTTAGTTAGTTTGTCGTCAGGATTGACGTCCCCGGGATTTTTTAGTTCAACATCATCACGTGGCTCTAGTTGTCCCGGTTTTCCTGGGGCTCCGGTATGTTTGACATCAAATTGCCTACTATCGGGAACACCATTATTATTATTAGTATCCGGTTTGTAGTAGTCATACTCGGATTTGTGTCCCGGTTTCGGTATAGTCGATGGTATGTCTATTTCATCTAATTTTTTATTATTATTTTAATAATTATAATATTATTAGTATATATATAAAAAATATTATTAGTATATATAAAAATATTATTAGTATATATATAAAAAATATTATTTATATAATTAAAATTGATGAAAATATTTTTTAATATAAACTTAAAAATAATAGACATGATTGTTTTTAAAAAAATCTGAATTAAAAAATAATTCAATTTAATAACTTTAAAAAATAATCAATTTAGTTTTTTTTAAAAATTATTTTTTAATTAGTTATATTAAAAATTATATTTTTAAATTAATAATTACCATCTCTAAATTTTTTAGCATCTTTTTTATTATCATCGGCAGCACTGATTAGTTGACCAGTAATTAAAATAATTAAAACAAAAAGTTTTAACATATTTTTATTTTAATGACACAATAAAAAAAATCTGATTTAATTTATTTGATCAAAAAGTATGTAATGAAAATGTTTTTAACAAAAAAGATTATTAACAAATAAAATTTTATTTAAATAAAAAAGAAAATTAAAACAATTTTTATTACATTTATAATTAATTTGTTTTATTAATTTAAGTTATATTATTTTTTTGTTGTTGTATTAGATTAATTATTATATTTTATTTTGTATTATTTGTATTAAAATGTTTTAACGGAAAATGGATATCCTTTTTGACAATTTTTTAAGTTAACATTAAAAATATTTTTACAAAAAAAAGACAGACAGACATAACAAACTTATATATATATATATATATATATATAGAGAGAGAGAGAGAGAGAGAGAGAGAGAGAGAGAGAGAGTTTTACTAATTTAAAGTTTTATTATAATTTTATTATTAATAATAAAAAATAATTAATTAATTAAAAATAATTTTTTTTCATAGTATTTATCAGTAATAAAAATTAAATGTATTTAATAATTTTATAATAATTAGTTAATTAATAGCTAACATAATAGATAAAATAGATTTTTTTTTTTAAATAAAATAAATTATTATCAATTTAAACATACAAATTATTTTAGATATTTTTTCAAAATTTAAAATATCTATTATAAAATAATTTAATTAACAAAATTAATTTTGCACTTAACTAACTTAGCAAATATTTTTTTAAAAATATCATTAAATAAAATCACATTTATAATGATAACAGTGAGTTCAAAATGAGATAAAATAATTTTATTAATTTTAATCACTTATTAAATAAATAAATTAACATACAGTATTACACACATACAGTACACAAAAACATAGATTTAATATACAAACATGAGTTTAAGATTAAAATTGAAAAACATTTTGATTTTTGTTTTGTAGTATAAAAATACATGTTTTTTTGTAAATAGACAAACATATTAAATAATAATTTAATTTTTATAGTAATTAATAGTAATATATTGAGAAAAAACATTTTATTATTATTATTAATTTGATGTTAAAATGTTGTCATCGGATAGTAATATATTGCGGTCATCGATACCAGTGGTTATACCAACTGAGAGGACAGTCGGTGAATATGTTTGGCATAAACTCAACAGTTTTGATGATAATAATGTTTGTTTGGTATGTAATGTATAAAACGAAAAATCAAAATCAAAATAATATTTAATTTTCTAAAATAATTAATACAAATATATATAAAAATTTTAATTAACTTTTTTTATTTTGGTAATTTATATTTTGTTTTTTTCTTTTAACTTAAAAAATTAAAAATAAATTTTCCAATTTGAAGATAATAAATAATTTGTAAATTAATTAAAAACATTTTTTTTAATTATTTAGTATAATTTATAGTTTATTTAATTATAATTATTTATAATTTATTTTTTTTAATAATAATAATAATAATAATATAATTTTTTAATAAAATTAATAGTAACTATATATGATATATACATATTAAATAATAATAATAAATATTTGTTTTTTAACAAACTGTAATTTTTATAAATAACACAATTTATTAGCTAGATAAAAATTATTGAAATTTTTTATTTAGTATAATAGTGTTCCGATTAATCAATAGACAATTAGACGTATAATAATTATAGACTTATTAAGTATGTACTGGATCACCTGAAAATTCCCATTAATTAATACAACAGTTAATAATTGGGTAATAAAACGGGTCGACCAGTGGCTGCTTAACAATATAAAATAAGTATATGTTTATTGATTTGTAACCCCATATATATGAACACTATTAGATTTTTTTCAAAAAAAAATATATAGATATATAATAATTTAATAATATATATATATATATAAATAATTTAATACATAAATTATCTAGATTATTTATTAATTAAATATAAACTTGAATTAATTAATAAATATTAGTTAATTAAATATTTTATATTATGCAACTCAAATTTTAGTTAATTAATTGATTTTATTTAAAAATATTTTTAATCTATAATTTAAAAAAAAAATATTTTTTTTAAACTTATAGATTGACGCCTATACTGGACAACAGCTAACTGTTGGCCAATTGAAACACCAGTCCCTGAGTATCGGTCGGGCACTTGTGGCCAAAGGTGTCACCAAATCGGATAAAATAGCATTCTATGGCCACAACTCTATACAACATTCGGTACTCAGATTTGCGGCATATTTTCTGGGACTACCGTTTTGTCCGCTTAGTCCTACATTCGGGGCCTACGAAGTTGGCCATGAATACCGGTCTACCGGTGCAACAATTATAATGACAACCAACGATGACTTACCTAAATTCAAGGATGTCATCGATAACACCGACAACAACACCGTTAATGTTGTTAAACTGGTGGTCATATTTGATGGCCAACACAAAGATTACCTAACATACGATCAGCTGCTCATCGATGATGGAGCCAATGATGGACAGTCATTATTAGCAGCACGTGTACCCTATTTTGATGTCGACCCCGACAACGACCCGTTCATCTATATTCATACATCGGGCAGTACTGGTTCACCCAAGTGTGTTAAACTCAAGCACCAGTCGATATTGATACTGATGCACGAGCGTGGCCATTTTCTCGACCCGGACATAGTTTCATCGCCCGGTGCTTTGAAAAAACATTGTATAGCTTTTCCCTATCCGTTTGGCCACATCAGCGGATCGGCAATACTACCGCTACAGCTATGTATGGGTTATCCGCTAGTTATCTACAGTCAATTTGATGAGCACCTGCTGTTCAAGTCAGTCGAAACCTATAGGATAACATTTTTGGGTACATTTCCATCGTTTGGCCGCCGATTAGTCGATCCGGACGTATTCAGCAGATATGACATGTCTAGCCTACAGATAGTCAATACGGGTGGCGCCGCCTTTCCCGGTAACGTTGCCCGGGATATCATTGATAAATATAATGTTATATTTAGAGAGGGTATGTATAGTAAACACTAATTCAGGGACAGGTAGTAAAAAAATACTGTATTTATATAATGCTTAGGTTACGGTATGACTGAATATCTGTTTATAACTGCCGGCCGTAATATTGCCGATGAATTTAAATCGGGAAACTGTGGACCAGTATCGCCCGGTACTGAATGCAAAGTAGCCGATTTGGCCACTGGCCAACCGTTGGGACCGAACAGTGACGGTGAACTGTGTGTACGCGGATTGAAACTATTTGCCGGCTATGTCAACAACGATCGGGCCTTTGGGGAGGCATTTGATTCGGACGGTTGGTATAGGACTGGCGATATTGGCCACTACGACCCGAGCGGTAATATCTATATTACCGATCGCCTGAAAGAGATCATACGTGTAGCCGACGGTAATCTCTATGTTAATGTTAGTCCCGTCGAAATCGAGCAGTTTTTGTTGACCCACCCGTCCATTGCCGAAGCGGCTGTAGTGGGTGTCAACAATCGGTCGGGTACTCAATGGCCCCGGGCTTACGTCAAACTCAATAGTGGACAGACTACTGTTGTTAGCGATATAGATATTAAAAAATTTGTAGCAGGTACGTTTTTTAATAATAATAATAAAATTAATTAATATTTTTATGTTATTTTTTTAATTTTTGTTTTTTTTTTAGATACATTAGCTTATACTAAGCAACTAAAAGGTGGTGTACAGTTTGTCGATAATATTAAACGTATAAATATTGGCAAAGTTGATCGTAAATTTTATCGCAACATGGTCTAAAATGAAATTATTGATTAAAAAATTTTAGTAAATCTAATAAAAATAATTTTTTATTTATAAATGATTGTTATTGAAAAATATGCATTATATATATATATATATAGACAATGTATACACTTATATATACTAATAGACAAATTAAAAATTGTTTTGCAAAGAAAATTAAAACTAAATTAATGAACAAAATTATTGGGAAAAAAAATCAATTTTCTATTAACTGGTTATCTAACTACTGGTGTATTGAATCTACTGTTTCTCTGTATACTCTCTCTCTCTCTCTCTCTTTCTTTCTTTCTTTCTCTCTCTCTCTCTTTCTCTCTCTCTCTCTCTCTCTCTCTCTCTCTCTCTCTCTCTCGATATGCACTGGTAGTCGACGAGTTTGGCGTCAAAAGAAAAACTAATAATTGTTACCGATATTTGTTGTCCAGGATATCAGTCACCGACTATAAAGTCAGTGCAAAACTATTTCATAGGATATCCATAAAGAATCGGAAATTATAAAACTATCGCTCAAACGGGCAATACTTACCGTACGATTAGAAGCGGATAAAACTAATGGAAAAACTTCTGCTAAAAGATATTCAATTGAAATCCAAAACAAGTATTTCGGTGTCAAAAAAAAAAAAGTTGTCGACCATTGTTTGGCCATTCAATTAGTTAACCGATGCTATAGTCAATAAAGTCAGGAACCGGTAGTCAGGAACAGATTGTTCAGAGGAAAGAGTTCAGCAAATTATATGTGAAAAGCCATTCATATCATGAAATTTTGAAGAGTTATTCAAACAATTGTATTGAAAAAAAAGTAAATAAAAATTTTGAACTAATTTTTGTTTGTCTTATACTATGTGTTGTGAAATAAAATATTAAATTTAAAAACAAATAATTGTCTAATTATTAATCAACTCTTTAAAACAAATTTTACAATAATATTATATAATTTTAAAATAAAATATATTATTAATAATAAATTAAAAAATAATTAAATAAAATATAAAATAATTTATTTTCTAAATTTAATTTTTTGTTAATATATTGTAATTTGAAAAAAATAAAAAACAATTTAATTATAGATTTTGAACTCAAACGTGAAAATCAATTAATACAATATAATATGATAGTTAAAAAAAACAATTTAAATTTTTGTTTAAACAAACAAAAAATATTAACCAAATACCAATAAATCAATTTTAGCAATAATTAGTTAATAAAAAACATGAGATATTTTGTTGTAATCTAATAATTAATCTAAGTTTTCAAATAAAGTGTATGACTTAATAACAGTGCAATTATTAACACAATTGCTAAAAATAAAACACCAAAATATGACATAATTGCATACTTTGTTGACATTATAGACCTGTCCTCTCCCTCTACTCGATCAACGATTTCCTCATTCAACACATTTTGCTGACGACGACGGAGCCAATGACCGGAACTGCTGGCCGACGACGACGACGACGACGACTTGGCGGACAACACCGACAGCCTGTTTGCCATAAGTCTTATGCACGCAAATGGATGGTTACTATTGTTGGCCACATCTACTGTTCCTCCGCCGCCGCCATCGGCTGCTACGGCTGTTGGCTCTATAATTGGATGATCGCCCATCCGTTGATCGCAATACAGACATAGTATGTCCAACAGTGTCGGACATATAGTCTCATGTATGAGTAGTTCATCGATAATGTTTGTATACTTACAGCCGCCGGACATATGGTATTGACACTTAACGATGATTTTCGACAACCACTCCCTTATCCTTGGGTTGACTGAGTCGATAGTAAATCTGCCGGTTGTCGTCATACACATAGGACAGGGCTGATTGTTGTTGTCCGCATCGGTTGAACACCGACTGCACATAACTATCCATTCACAGCACTGTCTTGACATTGGCTGGACTGGTATGGCCTTACAATTGATGCATTTGATTAGGTGAACAATTGATGATAATTCAGTGACAACTCTATTATCATCAATTGTTGATAGCACTGGCATTTTAGCTAGATAAAATAATTACCAAAAAAAATAGATATAAATTAAATTCAAAATTTAAATATTATTATTATATAACATACCGATTGATATATAGTTTAATTACTCAAATAATATTTTTTTTAATTATTAAATTATAGATAAATGTTATATTTTAATACAGAGTAATTATTAATAGTTACAAAAAAAATAAATAATTTTATTTTAATGTTAATAGCATCACATTTGTAAAGCAAATGATTATTTTTTAATATAATGTATTCCTATTTATATATATTTATTTTAAAAAAATTAATTATTAAACTGAATAGTATAGGAAAAAAAATTATTGATAAGTATTTTATAATATATATATAAATTTAAAACTCTTAATATAATACTAATCATTAGTCATAATATCTAATAGTTTTAGTAATATTTACTAACTTATAATTTTATAGTATATATATATATATATCAATATAGTTAATAATTATATATATATTAAACTAAAAAACTATAATAATAATACAATGTATTAAAATTAAAATATGAATAATACTATTATTATTTTTAAACTATGATTAAACAAATATTAGATATGAGTAATTTAATTTTTTAAAAATTTCCTATTTATATAGATAAATATACTGTATATGTATATTATTATTAATTTTTAATAACATATATTGAATAAAATGTTTATTTAAACAAATTTAAACTTTTATACTCTTAAATTAATTATTTAATATTACTGTATTAGCAAATAAATATTAATAGTAATTTAATATAAGTATTTTTAAACTTGAATTTTATTTTATAGTTAAGTATATTAATAGCATATATATTATAAATTTAAAAAAAAATAAATATTATTTACTAATAGATAATATTTATTGTTATTAGTATTACTAGACTAATGTGAAATAAAAACAGTTATAATTAATTTTAAGTAAATACAAATATTTATTATTTAAACAAATTAACTTTAATCTCTAAACTTTTAAAACAATATATTTTTTATTTAGTATTTCTAAAGTAATCTTATATATTAAATAAAAAATTATTAATATAATATATTTAAATAAATAAATACTATTAATATATATACAGTATATTACCTTGATTATTTATATTCATCAATATATTGGTTACAAGTAGTGACGGTTTGATTAGTTGTTTAACAGTTAGCGGCCGACTATCCAATGGACATGTTTGCCGATAGCGTATGTTTTGGCCATTATTTTCAGCGCCGATACTACTATTTAGCCAACTAGTCATACAATCTCTACAATACAAGTGTCGACAGCACGGAGTCTGGACTACTGGTTGGCGGCAAATGACGTAACATATGCCGCACAATAGGTCGGCAAACATTTCGTCTAATAATATGTCTATTGTTGTCAATCGGCGCCCCCGACAACTGGTTAGGCTATTATTATTAGTATTATTATTATTATTGATATTATCAGTCATGGCTAGTCCTCAACAACAAAACAAATTTTAAGTTTATATTCAAATTTAATTAAATAATAATAATTATTATTATTATCAAATAAATTATTATATAGATATAAATTTTGTAATATCAATATACCTGTATATATATAAATATTTTTATAATAATGAAAATTGTTGCTGATATTTATAGTCAAAAATATTTTATAAGTTAAAAATTAGTCTTAAAAGATTATCTATAGAAAATTTTAAGTGATAAATATAAACTAATTTGAAATTTTTATTTAAATACCTGTTTAGTATTAAGGTTAATGTCCTAGTTAAACAATGATAAAAATAAATTTAACTGTATAATATATACAGTATATATATATATACCTTAAATATAAATATATAGGTATATTTACATAGTATAAAATTATATATAAAATTATAATCTAATTATTGATTAAATGTATTATAGATTGTGTACACTGTCATCATATATATACTAATACATTATATATACAGTATATATATATCCTGATTAGTAATTAATAAATTAATAGTTTGAATATATAAATAAATAAATAATTATAAATATATATAAATACAGTATTTACTGTAAGTTAAGTATTGTTTTTAATAAGTTAATCGTTAATAATGGTGAAATGTTAGTAGCCGGTAGTCAACAAAATTGTTTTTTTTTAATTTTAACAAATTAAATAAAAAAAAATTATTTATCATCAGTAGAAGGATTTCACATATAGGTGCGAACTTTTTATCTGCATATTGTATTAAAAGCAGTATGTACTGGATCACCTGAAAATTCCCATTAATTAATATAACAGTTAATAATTGGGTAATAAAACGGGTCGACCAGTGACTGCTTAACAATATAAAAATAAGTATATGTTTATTGATTTGTAACCCCATATATATATATGAACACTATTAGATTTTTTTTCAAAAAAAAAAATATATAGATATATAATAATTTAATAATATATATATATATAAATAATTTAATACATAAATTATCTAGATTATTTATTTAATAAATATTAGTTAATTAAATATTATTTATTATGCAACTCAAATGTTAGTTAATTGATTGATTTTATTGAAAAAATAATTTTTAATCTATAATTTAAAAAAAAAATATTTTTATTTTTTTTTAACTTATAGATTGACGCCTATACTGGACAACAGCTAACTGTTGGCCAATTGAAACACCAGTCCCTGAGTATCGGTGCGGCACTTGTGGCCAGTGGTGTCACCAAAACGGATAAAATAGCATTCTATGGCCACAACTCTATACAACATTCGGTACTCAGATTTGCGGCATATTTTCTGGGTCTAACCATTTGTCCGTTTAGTCCTACATTTGGGGCCTACGAAGTTGGCCATGAATACCGGTCTACCGGTTCAACGATTATAATGACAACCAACGAGGACTTACCTAAATTCAAGGATGTCATCGATAACAACAACACCAACACCGATAATGTTGTTAAACTGGTGGTCATATTTGATGGCCAACACAATCATCATCTGACATACGATCAGCTGCTCATCGATGGACAGTCGTTATTATTATTATTATTAGCAGCAGCAGCAGCACGTGTACCCTATTTTGATGTCGATCCCGATAACGACCCGTTCCTCTATATACATACATCGGGCAGTACTGGTTCACCCAAGTGTGTTAAACTCAAGCACCAGTCGATATTGATACTGATGCATGAGCGTGGTCATTTTCTAGACCCGGACATAGTTTCATCGCCCGGTGCTTTGAAAAAACATTGTATAGCTTTTCCCTATCCGTTTGGCCACATCAGCGGATCGGCAATACTACCGTTGCAACTATGTATGGGTTATCCACTAGTTATCTACAGTCAGTTTGATGATCATCTGCTGTTCCAGTCGGTCGAAACCTATAGGATAACATTTTTGGGTACATTTCCATCGTTTGGCCGCCGATTAGTCGATCCGGACGTATTCAGCAGATATGACATGTCTAGCCTACAGATAGTCAATACGGGTGGCGCCGCCTTTCCCGGTAACATTGCCCGGGATATCATTGATAAATATAATGTTATATTTAGAGAGGGTATGTATAGTATAAACACTGTAGTTCAGGGACAGGTAGTTAAAAAATACTGTATTTATATAATGCTTAGGTTACGGTATGACTGAATATCTGTTTATAACTGCCGGCCGTAATATTGCCGATGAATTTAAATCGGGAAACTGTGGACCAGTATCGCCGGGTACTGAATGCAAAGTAGCCGATTTGGCCACTGGCCAACCGTTGGGACCGAACAGTGACGGTGAACTGTGTGTACGCGGATTGAAACTATTTGCCGGTTATGTCAACAACGATCGGGCCTTTGGGGAGGCATTTGATTCGGACGGTTGGTATATGACTGGCGATATTGGCCACTACGACCTGAGCGGTAATATCTATATTACCGATCGCCTAAAAGAGATCATACGTGTGGCCGACGGTAATCTCTATGTTAATGTTAGTCCCGTCGAAATCGAACAGTTTTTGTTGACCCACCCGTCCATTGCCGAAGCGGCTGTAGTGGATGTCAACAATCGGTCGGGTAGTCAATGGCCCCGGGCTTACGTCAAACTCAATAGTGGACAGACTACTGTTGTTAGCGATATAGATATTAAAAAATTTGTAGCAGGTACGTTTTTTCAATAATAATAATAAAATTAATTAATATTTTTATGTTAAAAAGTTTTTTTTCAAATTAAAAATTTTTAGATACATTAGCTTATACTAAGCAACTAAAAGGTGGTGTACAGTTTGTCGATAATATTAAACGTATAAATATTGGCAAAGTTGATCGTAAATTTTATCGCAACATGGTCAAAAATGAAATTATTGATTAAAAAATATTAGTAAATCTAATAAAAATAATTTTTTATTTATAAATGATTGTTATTGAAAAATATGCATTTTATATATATATATATATATATATATATATATATATAGACAATGTATACACTTATATATACTAATAGAAAAAATAAAAATTGTTTTGCAAAGAAAATAAACTAAATTAATGAACAAAATTATTGGGAAAAAAATCAATTTTCTATTAACTGGTTATCTAACTACTGGTGTATTGAAGCTACTGTTTCTCTGTATTCTATCTCTCTCTCTCTCTCTCTCTCTCTCTCTCTCTCTCTCTCTCTCTCTCTCTCTCTCTCTCTCTCTCTCTCTCGATATAAACTAGTAGTCGACTAGTTTGGCGTCAAAAGAAAAACTAATTGTTACCGATATTTGTTGTCCAGGATATCAGTGCCGACTATAAAGTCAGTGCAAAACTATTTCATCGGATATCCATTAAAAATCGGGAATTAAAATTATCGCTCAAACGGGCAATACTTACCGTACGATTAGAAGCGGATAAAACTAATGCAAAAACTTCTGCTAAAAGATATTCAATTGAAATCCAAACAAGGATTTCGGATCAAATGTGGTCGACTTGTTTGGCCATTCAATAAGTTAACCGATGCTATCGTCAAAAGTCAGGAACCGGTAGTCAAAGAGATTGTTCAGAAAGAGTTAGCAAACTATATGGGAAAAGCCATTCATAATATGAAATTTGAAGATTTATTCAAATAATTGTAATGAAAAAAAAGAAAAAACTAAATTTTGAACTAATTTTTGTTGTCTTATACTATGTGTTATGAAATAAAATATTAATTTAAAAACAAAAGCAAATAATTTTCTAATTATTAACACTTTTTAGCAAATTTTACAATAATATTATTGTAACTTTTTTTTTAATTTATAAATATTATTAATAATAAATTAAAATAATTGAATAAAATATATAATATAATTTATTTTTGAAAATTTAATTTTTTTTTTAGTTAAAAGCTAAATATTTTTGTTTTATTGTAATTTGCAAAATTAAAAAATAACAATTTACTTAATAATCAATTAATGGATAAAACTAAAACAAATTATTAGTATTTAGATTTATAAACAAAGTTTTAATAAAAAAAATAAATTTTCTATTCAATCAATAATTAAATTTCAATATTTAAAAACCAATTAATTATTATTATTAATACAAATATATTTAACAACTATTTTATTTGTGAATCAATAGTATGGCTTAAAAGCATAGCAATTATCAATGCAAACGTCAACAAAATTATAGCAAAATATGATATTATAACATATTTTGTTGAAATTATATCCCTGACCTCCTCCTCCACCACCACCTCCTCATCCTCCCTGACCTCTCCCTCTACTTCATTATTCAACAGATTTTGCTGACGACGACCGGAATCGATGGCCGACGACGACAACTCCGACAGTCTTTTAGCTAATAGACTAATGCAAGCAAACGGGTTATCGCTTTTGTTTGGCATAACTGTTCCGCCATCGACTGCCGCTGCCGTCGGGTCGGCTACGACTATGTGGTCACCCATTCTATAGTTGCAATACATGCACGGTATGTCCAACAATGTTGGGCAACGGTTTTCATGGCCTAGTATGTCAGCAGCCATAGTAATATAGTTGCAGCCGTCATACTTGCAGCGGACAATCATAGTGGACAACCATTCCCGTATCTTTGGATGGACCGACTCAGTAGATAGGATACCGGTGCTCATACATGCGATACAATGCTGCTGCTGCTGCTGATTATCATTGGTAGCACATCCGCTACAATACACTATATAATTACAGCACTCCCGTGCCATTGGCTGCACTGGTAGTTCATTGCACTTCAAACAGCGTATTAATTTATGATAAGCCGAAATATCGGTCACAACTCTATGGAAATTAATAGTTGACATTATTATAGCTAAAAATTTAAATTTAAAAAAAAATAAATGTTAATACAATCAAATTTAATCATAATATATATATATATAAAATTACTTACCGGTACTAAACAAATAAACAAAATTAAAACTAATTATTTAGAAAAATTCAAATTTTAATTAACTTTTTAATTATAATTTTTTTTTAAAAAAATGACAAAATAATTGTATACTTAAAAAAACGGTTTGTAATTTACAAAATGAGACTAAAATTTACAAAAATGTGTTCCTATTTATAGAGAAAATTTAATTATTAAACTTAATATTATATGAATAAAATTTAAAATATATGGAAAATTTATTTCATATTAATTATTAAGAAAATAATAAATTATTGATAATTTTTTTTCCAATAGTTTAATATTTTTTTTACAAATATTTATTATATTATTCAATAATAGAATAATTTTATATATTATTTATAAATATTAGTTTCAATTTATAGTAACATTAAGTTTAATAATTATATAAATAATACAAATTTCCTATTTTCTAAACTTTTAAATTATTTTATTAAATTTCAATATTAATTTATCAAATTTATTTGTATTAATATTTGTATTTAAAAAAAACTTTTATAGTATATAAATATATAGTTATATATTTTAAGCAAACAGATAATAATTATAAAATTAAAATATGAATAATATTATTATTACTAAAACTTAAATATGAAATAAATTATATATGATTAATTTAATTTAACTATTTATAGAAATAAATATACTGTATATGAATATTATTTTTTTATAACTTAATAAAAATAAAATATTTGTTTAAACTATACATAACTTTAATCTTTAAAATTTTTTCAATTAATTATTTAATATTACTAGTAATTAGTATTTTATGTAATAATTTAATGTAAGTATTAAAACTTTTTATTTTATTTACTATATCTAAAGTAATCTTATAGATAAAAAAAAGTATTAAAATCATATATTTAAAAATATAGATATTTACTAATTAAAAAATATATTATTTATTTAGTATATATATATGTTATAGATATATTACCTTGATTATTTAGATTCATCAATATATTGGTTACAAGTAGTGACGGTTTGATTAGTTGTTTAACATTAAGCGGCCGACTATCCAATGGACATGTTTGCCGATAGCGTATGTTTTGGCCATTATTTTCAGAGCCGATACTACTATTTAGCCAACTAGTGATACAATCTCTACAATACAAGTGTCGACAGCACGGAGTCTGGACTACTGGTTGGCGGCAAATGTCGTAACATATGCCGCACAATAGGTCGGCAAACATTTCGTCTAATAATATGTCTATTGTTGTCAATCGGCGCCCCCGACAACTGGTTAGGCTATTATTATTATTATTATTATTATTATTATTATTATTGATATTATCAGTCATGTCTAGTCCTCAACAACAACAAAACAAATTTGAAATTTATATTCAAATTTAATTAAATAATAATAATTATTATTATTATCAAATAAATTATTTTATAGATATAAATTTTGTAATATCATTATACCTGTATATATATAAATATTTTTATAATAATGAAAATTGTTGCTGATATTTATAGTCAAAAAATATTTATTAGTTAAAAGTTAAAGTAAAAGTCTTAAAAGATTATCTATAGAAAATTTTAAGTGATAAATATAAACTTATTTTGAATATTTTTTTATTTAAATATCTGTTTAGTATTAAGGTTAATGTCCTAATTAAACAATGCAAAAATATAGTTAACTGTTTAATATATACAGTATATATAAATACCTTATATATAAATATAAATTTAAAGGTATATTTACATAGTATAAAATTATATATAAAATTATAATCCAATTATTGATTAAATGTATTATAGATTGTGTACACTGTTATCATATATATACTAATACATTGTATATATATATATATATATCCTGATTAGTAATTAATAAATTATAATTTGATAAATTAATAGTTTAACTATATAAATAAATAAATAATTATTATAAATATATATATATATATTTACTGTAAGTTAAGTACTGTTTTTAATACGTTAATCGTTATTATTGTTCAAATGTTAGAGACCGGTAGTCAACAAAATTGTTTATTTATATAAAAAAAAGTTTTAACAAATTAGATGAGAAAAAATCCATTTATCATATCAAATGTTTGACAAGTTATTAAAAAAAAACAAAATTATCTGAATTTAAATTGTTTTATTTAAAAATATATAATAAGTAAATAATTGTTTGTTAAATATTATGCAATTAGTCTATAATATAGTTAAGTAATAGAAATGAAAAAAAGAGAGAAGCAATAGTTAAAATCAATTAAATAATAACAAATAATTTATGAAAATAAAAATTTATTTTCTTTTTTGGTTAATTTTTGTTGTAGTTTTTATTATTTAAATATTAAAATTAATTGTATTATTATTATAAATTGAAATGAAATGTTAATAAAATTAATGTTAATTAAAAATAATCTATAATTTAAATATTTTCATTTATTAGTTACAGTTATTATGATATGAATTATGAATATTTTTTTTAAAATTTTTAAGCAATTGTTTAATAAAATTAAAATAAACATAAATTTTTAATAATGTCTCTGTATATGAGGTCTAAAGTAAATATATGTAATCTAAATATTAATATCTAATTAGTTATAAATTTACAGTTTTATATATTAGTTTTAGTAACTAAATTATTGTATCTGTTATTACAGTATAATTAAGCCAATTAATTAAATAATTATAATAATATTATTAAAATAAAAATTAGCATTAGTTTTATATACAATTTTCAGTATTATTTATAATTTATAAAATTTAATATTTTAAAATTTGATTTTTTTCTATTATCTATTAAAATTATGAATTATTAACATAATTTTATATATCAAGTACTATATGTTAAGTAAACCTAAATATTATCATATCTATTAAAAAAAATATTTTTGTTTTTAAATTGATTTGAAAACATAAACTGTAATCTAAACATATTTTTTTGTAATATAATTTTTAATGGATTAATTAAATTATTAATATTACTACTATGTAGTTTATTGTTTTTTATTCATAATGTTAATAATGAATAGTTTATAATAGCTATGGCTTAATAAAATTAAAATAAACAAAAAATATTTATATTAATATAGGTCCATTTTGTGATGCTAATATTATAAAAAATATATATTTATTTAGTATTAATATCTAGTTTGTTATAAATTTACAGTTTTATATTAGTTTTTAATAACTAAACTAATGTATCATAACTGTTATGATTTATAACTAAGTCTATCATTTAAAGATTATATAATATATTAAATAATTATATAAGTTAATTATACAACTAATTAATAATATTTATATTATAATAAATATTTTATATATTATCAAAAATTAACTAAATAGTATTTATAGTTAAATAAATGTAAATTAATAATATTTAAGTTATTTCATATTTATTTAGCTAATTAATTTTATTGTTTAGTGTATTTGAACTTTAATTAATTTTTTTCTAGTTTGAAATCTATTTAGAAATTAAGTATTTTTTTTATTAATAAAAATATTTTTTTTATATAAATTATTTAATATTATAATTGACTTTTTCAATAATATTTTTAATGTGTTTGATAGATATTAGCTAATATTATTGTTAATATTGTTTTATATTAATAAATAATAAATCTAATTTGTGTATTTAATAATTAATTTATATTTATTAATTAAATTATTGCGTGTGTATAACAATTATTTTTTATTTAATATTAATTTTATTAGAAATAATTTATACTATTATTAAATTGAAACG